CTTAAATCAATTTCATTACATCAGTATTTCTACTAATTTACAGTCAATTCATTGAAAGATATTTTAGTTCGATTGAATTTAATAAACTACTTACAAAAAAATCAAAAAGTATTATAAAATTAAATGAAATATTTTTCTTTTCAGATGCGTTTACTATTGCTTATTATCACATTGGGAATCGATGTAGGTTTTGGCCAATTTTCGGCTCTTACCTCAGACTATGATGCTTACGGTCTTAAAATAACCGGTAATGATATAATGCTGATTGAAGCATTAGATGATACCCAAGTATTTGTTATTCGATTCGCTCCTTACAATTATACATCACAACCACTTCAGTGTTCTGTTACGTACAATGATTCGACTCATTATGTATATTCAATAGGTATTGGTGAAAAACAAATGTCAAATCAGTTATATTTCTTTTATGCTGGAGAAATTCTACCAAACAATCCATCGGTTACTAATTTATTAGGTTATAGTAGTACCTTTATTGGTATATTAATCAATAAAGATCCACAAAATGCACAAATCTATGAAAATAACCAGACATTATTCAATTGCAATAATTTTGAATATCAATCGCTTCAATTTATTTCATCTTATGGTCATCAAGAATTTTTTGTATTTGGTGTTGAACCTTATGGTCAATATGCGATTGGTTTAGCACAGGATTTTGTCTTTATTTATCGTCCATTCTCTGATAATATGATACGAATAAAGAATAGTAGTCTTGTATGGCCTGCTAATACAATATTCATGCCCATGGCAGCTGACACAGATATTTCATATACAATTGTTGCTGGTTTTGTTATTAATGGTCCTTTGTTTCGAGTACGTGCAACACCTACAGTCTATGTTATATCAAACTCTGATCTGACCGTCTTAGCAACATGGTCATATACAGCTGCACTTAATTCATGGCAATCTCATTTGACTTATTCAAATTTTAAGACATGGTCAAACAAGTATGTTATGTCGGTAAATATCAATCTTGACGATCCTAGTCGAATCCTGGTTGGTATGCCATTTCTTAACATCGTATTTTTATTAAACGTTAGTTTGAATGGTAGCAATATAACACTTGATAGTTTTGTTGATAATGAAGATTCGAAAGGATTCGGTAAGAGTGTTACATGGTTATCGAATTCTGATGCAGCAATTCTAAGTTCGAATTATCCACGCGATGATAGCTCGAAAATTTACTTATATAGATCATTGAATAATAGAAGTTTGCCATCATTACCTTCTGCTATATTTCCTAATCTTCAACAAACTTTACCAAAAACAATCAATGTTCATTTCATTCGAATGATTTCAACACCAACTTCACTTGCTATACTTGGTATTGCTAGTGAAATTCTTCTTATTTTATCTGCACCACCTGGATATTTTGCATCGACAAGTTTATCTATTACTGATTCAATACTTACTGTCAGTCAATCAATGATATGCATGGCCGGTACATACAAAATGGATAGTAGTATTTTTCCATGTTCTTTATGTCCAAGTGGTTCACAAAATTCAGGTAAACTTCCAGCTAGTTCATGTATGATTTGTTCGTCAGATAGTTTTTGTCCAATGGGAGCTGTAGCTGATATAAATACAAGTTTTCTTCTTCCACAATTACAATCACAGGTTTATCCACGTTCACCTGAAGTGACTGCATTCGATGAAATTCTTCTTCAAAATATGTTTTCAACCAGTTCACATGAACATTGTATTTTCATTTCACCTCTTTTTTGGGTATTATTCGTCATTGGTATCGTTTTTATCATATTGCTCGGTATGGGTATACTCAAACGATATGTTCGACATCCTAGAGGTTATGAAGTGCGTCAACATGTGAAGAAAATCTTTCGAAAAATTGATCTTATCGTTAGTATTCTGCAAAATATTTAATCTTGTTTTTAATTATTTCATTTTCTTTCTTTCACTAGGACGAAGGCGAAATGTGGGTAGGTGGAATGGTTTCACTTGCTATTATGGTTCTTCTTTTGTTTTCTTATACGTTTTCTGCAGCTTTTTATCTACAATATCCATCTAATAATAGTGCTCCATCGACATTTGCTTGTGATGAAATAATTCGTAATGTAAAATATGAAAGTGGTTTACAATCACTTTCGATTACAGTATCGAAAGAAGAACAACCTATGTTTGATCTTCTCAATAAACAACATTTTATTCTTCGTTTGGATCTATTGAATACTATTGCTTCATGTAAAAGTTTGTCCGTTCAGCAAATTCTTGGATCAACAACATCTAAAGTGATCTCTACTTGCACAGATTCGATTGGAATTCTAACAGCTGCTATTGAATTAGCCTATCAAAAAGCAATAATCAAATGGATTCTAAATGATATTGCGCTTATTGGAGCTGTACGTATTAGTCTTTCAGCTGATGAACAGGAAAATGAATCATATCGATTAAAAAAACTCGATTTTAGTCAAACATTCTATGATGATTCAAATCGAACACTGGCTCAAACGGCGACCATTAATCTAAAATTGACCAAGGTAAGTTTTTTTTCCATAGGAATGAACATTTTTTATTTTTTTCTCTTCGTAAAACAAATAGGCAATCAATGAGACAGAACCACTTCGAGGACATGAATCCTCATTTTCGGGAATTTGGTATCCAACATTTGCGATGAGTGAAGAGCATGTGTTTATCTCATCTGACGAATATGGTACATCAGCAAATCTTACGTCTACTACATTAACTATTGTAATAAGTGAAACATCCTACTATATCAAAAATCGTCAATTACCTATTGCTAAACTACGTGAAATCATCTTTCATAATCTTCTTTTTACAGTTGTCTGTCTGGAAATTTTTCGTCTCCTTATTCTTCTTTGGAAGCTAACGATGAATCCTCTATTGAATTTTATAATGAGACACTTAAAAAAGACGAATGAAATCGTATCGACGAAGACTGAAAGTGTTGATCATGTTACAATAATAGACGATCATGATACAACAACAGACGATCATGATACAACAATACACGACCATAGTACAACAACAAACGACCATACTACAACAACAAACGACCATAGTACAACAACAAACGACCATAGTACAACAACAAACGACCATGGTACAACAACAAAAGATTACAATATTGTCGAATTCAATTCATGAATAACAAAGTTGCTCCATAACATTTTTCCTTGAAAATATCCTTATTCATTGTTTTTCATTCTATATTTAACCATTTACTTTTTTTTTGACACTTAGTACTGTCTTAATAAATCGTTTTTTTCTCTGATTACAATGTCTGCACATTGACGCTTTCATAGATTTCAATTACATATATCTTGTTCTGTCGAAATGTCTATCACAATTTATGAGAAGAGCAAAAGAACATTGAGTATGGGTGTGGGTCTGCATTAAAAAAGAAAAGGACACCTACACCCACATCCCACATCCGTCTACCTTTTTTCAAGAAAAATTTTTCCAGTAACTATGAAATTTATGAACTTTTTCTCGATAAATACTGGAAGAGTCCATACGAATTTATGCGAAAAAATGACATCAATAAAGACAAAGATTCGGGAAAAGCCAAATGTAGAAGATGATTTTATAATTTTTCAGTACTGTATACAGACGAAAATAAATATTTGGTGATTATTCTTAGTTAACAAGACAGGATAGTTCAATGTGTTTGTCGTTGTAAAACATTGTGAATACAATACAATCTTGAGTATGCAATTAATTTCTTGTGTGAATCAATTGTATTTATATAATATGATTGTTTTGAATTAACTAAGCTAGCTAACCGATTGTATTCTACAATAATGAAATGTAAATGAAAAAAAAATGAGTCTTGTATATTATCGATGAATTGAGTTCGAATAAAAAACTTGTAGATGAAGGTGGTATTTGCAGACGATAACTACTTACATTTAAGAATACTAACTTAAATAGCATATTTTATTTCTCAAACTGGTATATGAATAATAAGATCTAAAGTCTCACTTTTAGGTCATAAATTTAAAAATATTTTTATCATAATCAATTGATTATATTCTTCACCAACATTTGCTGATTGACACAGAGAAACAAGAGGTCATTTATTGATACAGACTTTGCTAATTCAAATACCTTTTTTTTGTTTTATTTGATAAAGACAAAAAAAAAGAAACACTTTAAAATAATTAATATTTTTGTACATCTCGCAATCGTTACCATTCTAAGTGTAGATTATCATCTACGTGTTTAATCGTATAGTTACATACAAGTTTTTCAGCATTAATCATTCTTTTTAATTTTTTCATTGTTTCGTCATCTATTGTTGGAATCTGAAAACACAATAAACGAAAATGTTCATTACAATCATCTTTAATTCCTTCGAAAATATATCGTAGAACAGATTCGAAATCAATATGTGTTATATAATCCACTTTGAGATATTCCATGTACGGACAGAAGTCCAAAATGAGATAAAAAACTTCAATTGAGTTCAAGGTCTCTAGATATACTTTTATAGCTTTGCTTCTACTTGTTATTGAACGTAAACTAATATATTCTTCAAAGCTTAAACCTTCTCATTCATGTAATGATAATGAATGAATTTTTAATATAGTAAGTTCTGGTAATCAATATATAGCTTCATTTAATGGAGCAAGATGGATTTCTTCTTCTGAAATTGCCAAATGATAAATTTGTGCTACAGGCAAAATGCTTCTAATATCCAACATTAGAGGTTCGTCAAAACTATTATGATCAATAAATTTGATGTTTAGTCGAGTAGATTTAACATATTCAACAGAAGAATTTAGAATTTTATCTTGTGTGCATTCATACCATCTTTTTCTAATAGACAAATACAAAAAAAATAATCTATTTTAAACAAACAAATCTTCTCAATTAGACACCTGCGTGACCGGTTCATTGGAACTAAAGAAAAATAAGATTGTTCGGCAATAGCTTTCATGGTAGATATGAAAAAACAATTCTGCTTGATCTATTGTGTTCAGAATTTTAAGCTCTTCAAAATGGTATAAAAAAATTTAGAATACAATGCTCTACAGAAGAGAAAATTAAGACATATTCGTCGTGACCTATTTTGGTTACGTGCAGTGACAAGGCTTTCTGGTTACGACGAATGTATCTTAATTGTCTTTCCTGTAGAACATTATATGCTCGACTTTTTATGTCATTTTGAAGAGCTTAAAATTCTGAACACAATATATCAAGTAGAATTATTTTTTTGACATCCACTATGAAAGCTATTATTAAACAATCTTTTTTTTCTTTGATCACGACGGAATGATCATGCAGGTCTCTATCCGAGACGTATCCAATTTTACCCAATAGAATACGATGGTTTGGATATAGCGAACATTCGACTAAATCTAACAGTCGAGTTTAATAGTAATTTTGGTACTCGTATTCTGACGAGGTTCCTATAGGATCCTATCCGATTTCATCGAGTTTCTCCGGGTTTCGAACAGATTTCAACAATCGGGATTCGAGGGTGAGTCAGGCACCTGAATTCTGATAGGATCTGACGAAGTTCAACTGTTGAATTTATTAGTCTGGATAGGTTGTCTCTTTATAACAACTTGTAGCTTTTCGACATTGTTTGTTACGGCAAGTTTCATGCCATTCGCGCGGATATTTTCGAAATTCTTCTTCTCTTACATGATCACATGTCTCCTCACCAGCTCTTAATTGTACTTGTATTTAGAATACAATAGTTGAACTATATTCAATACCAATATGTGAGTCATCTCAAACGTATGATTTTCAAAGCAATAATGTTTCCTGTTTGACCTTGACTGAAACGGGTAATAATGAAGCTATAATGGATGATGTGTCTTATTTATGTGTTAATATGAGTAGAGCAAAGATTGATATAACTTCCGAACAAGCACAAATAATTGCTTCCTTTTTAATAAGAAAATCTGCGAAGCAAAGATGTCCATTGAGACTGAAAACCTGTCTTTGAGGCCGCTACTACGATGGCTATTTCAAACAACGTATTGAACTAGCACTCTTGTAACTTTTAGATCAAATTCATTCAGTTTCAAAGTGTTATATTCATGGACAACGAAATCGTGTACAAATTCATGCAGTTTTGCAATTCGTCTCTAAAAAGGGTGCCATTGTAGTGGTATTATCAAAATACATTCTGTGACACTACTACTGTCACCATAGACATTTCTGATTCGAAGTTCATTTTTATTTACAAATTTCTAATATAATTATCTTATATTGTCTTTTCTGCATATAGAATGAACTAATAAATGTACCTTTATATCGGAAAATCATAAATTTAAGCCTTCGCTGGAATAATTCATATCTAAAAAATTTATTCATTATCTTTTATTACTGATCGATATGTCATATGGCGTACAACTCAGTGGATTGGACGGTTTCTGTCGGTGTGGGTGTGGGTATGGGTTTAGATGAAAACGAGACTGAGACCCATACACCCACACCCACACCCACACCCTCATTAGGGTCAAGAAACGATTTAACAGAGTTCGGCGTGATTCAATTCTTACAAACAATTAACATTGATGGCATGCTTTTCGGATGATTTTTTTCTGTCCGTTATTTGACCCAATGCATGATCGATTTTGTTTAGAAATTATATCGGAAATTTATTATCAAATCAAATGGCTTTATCTGGAATTATAAATGACGTTCACTAACTTAAAATATTTCAATTTCAGTTAATATTTACATTGGTTTCAACAATCATCATTTGATATATTATTTTCAACTATATCTTTGTATAGCTGATGTTAAGATTGATCACTTTTCCTCGTCACATAACAATCGATAATGCGATAGATTTTTTTGGTTTCTTTTCTAGGAAACATTACCTGATTTAAGATCATTTTCAATGCATTTTGATACTTACACATGTACTTATAATGAATTAGTTATACCACTTGTACAAAGAATGTTAACTATAGAAAATAATAAACAACGCAGAAAAGTGAAGAATTATAATCAAGTTTCATCAATTATGGAATATTCTCATCTTATTCATCTTGATCTTTGTCAAATTCATGATGATTATATCGAACAATTTTTACGCCACATGAAAATGTGTTTTGCTAAATAATATTCATCTCTGTAAAACAAACAATTTTAAAAGATTTGCAAAACGAATTAATTGTGCAAAAATAAGTTATGTGTACCAAAAACAGATATCTGGGTGATAATTATCCATTTTCAGAGGATTTCAAAGATTATTTTCTTCATGTAAATACAGATATATAGTATAAATGTATTCAAAATAAAGTAAAGAATTATATATTTAATTGAAAAGAATCAATATCTATGTATCAAATATGAATGCCTGTAATAATGTATAAATGAAAAAACAACACGAAAAAGAGAAGTTCTTGTTCAGAAAATTTTTTTTAATTTAAAATCATATCTAAAACACCGGCCTATTTGGTATTATACAATTTAGAAACATTTTTTTTGAATATTGAAAAACAAAGAGAAAATTGACAAGTCGAGAAACAAACATGTTAACATCATTTTTGCTCGTTTTTAGGTATCAAACATGTTATAATTAACTGCCTTAACGAACATGGTAAAATATGTTACAACATAATATCATGAGTTTGCCGATATAAATTTCGACTTTTCCGATGGAATTATACCTGGGAAACATTACGATACTTCAAAATGACTCGCTTTTACAGTACTCATTTTCGTATTAACGATTTAATGCCGCTCTTTTGATTAAATATAAAGAGAATGAATAGACCATTTTGTAACTCATGAAAAGCTGTCTCCGTTGAGGATTTTTTTTTGTAATATACTATAAACTTACGTGAACAAGAAGTTTTCTATGCTCACCTCTATTGGTGTTCTAAGAATCTTCCATAATCTGTTCTCTCTCATTTTGATATGAGTAGAATGTTGTAAAACAGAATCCACAACTACTCACATTGACAAAAAATATCTCTTATTAATGGACATATTAGAAGATCTTGTTTTCTAATAGACAGCGTTGAAAATTGAAGCCTCTAGTATAGATACTTCACAGTTTAGTAGCTTTATCTTTCCCTTGGTATCAAGAAATATTTTTTCTCTCTGTATAGTCTACATGTATTTTTTTCATAGGCAGACTAGAAGAGAGGAGCGTATAGATTACATTGATCACAGGTTAATAGCTTTCTGTCTCTTAATGTATAAAGAGGAGTATATCTTTTTTTCTTCTTTGCATGGCCTTCCCTTGGTATCGAGAAAAAAAAAATTTTCCTCGGTATAATATAGGCCTGTATCTTTTTCTCATAGACAGACTAAAAGCAAGGAGCCTAAAGATTATATCAATCACAGGTGAATAGTTTTCTTTCTGCCGAAGCGTAGAGACAAACATTATTTCTTCTCTTGACGGTTTGGCTGCGTTTTTTCATAGATACACTAAAAGAGTACAAGGTAGACATCGAATTCTCCACAGGTAATGGGCTTTATCTTTTTCTAGATGTTGAATAGGAATGGTGTTTTACCTATATTTTACTTTGAAAAGCTAAATTAAACTAAGTAACTTATTAAGGTTAAGTTTATGACTCATTTATTAGGTTGACATTTCAAAATCAGTCCATCTTCATCTACTAGGGATGACATTTCACATAAATTTTATCTGAATAAATTTGAGCTGCATTAGAAAAAAAACCAAATAATACAGTTAGCTTGTGTTGTTTTTGCTTATGTTGGAGTTCATTATCATAAAGCAGCATAGCATCATCATAAGTCATGAGATTTTCTATTAATTTTTTTCTGAATTATATCTCCAAAAGCTAATCATTACATTGATTAACCATACATAGGGACGAGAAGTTTTCATTACTAAACAATGACGTTACTAGATAACGGAGTACCAAAAAATTCTTGAATTTGATTTTTTCACCGAAGAAAGATTTCTTTTGGGAATGTAACGAATTTGATATAATTTGATCAAAGGTTTTCAAGTTAGAGGGATACGAATCATTGATCAATTGATCGAAATTCTGTATTTAATTTTTTCCACTAAAGAAAGCTTTGTTTCATAAAATGAGAAACTGATCATGAATTAAGATCTCTGAATTCCGAAGATGTTTGACCACATTTCATCAAAGTCATTATTTGCCTTAAAAAAGCTTTTTTTTTTTATTGGAAACATCATATACAAGAATTTTCGTTTCTTCGTTACTCATTATCTAAATAACATAACTGTCTAGTGATTGACTATTGCAAGTATAATTCATAAAAAACTAATAGACGATCTCATGACTTATGATAATAGTATGCTACTTTATGATAAGGAATTTCAACATAAGTAAAAACAGTACATGTTAACTTTTTTATTTTTTGTTTTCTAACCAAGTGATGAAGTCTCTTTAAATATATCTAAGTAAATTGCTTGGAGAAAAAAAACCAGAAAAAATCTAAAACTGTTACACATCCGTAGCATTCATCGAAGGCAATATTTGCACGAAACAGATTTTCCGAAAATGGTCAATCCAACTTTTCTCTGCAATTATTGTTTCAAGTAACTTTTACATGTTTTTAGGGAGCTATGTCAAAAAAATTTTACCATGGTGATCCTGATCGTGACAATTATTTTTGGGTTTATTCAAAAGATAAAAAATTGATAACTCATCATTGGGACGCTTACAAAGCATCTGATATATGCTATAATTGTACGCTGGTCGATAAAAATTCAGAATCCGGAATAGAGACATATGAATGCAATGGCCATGACAAGTAAGTAATAAACACAGCCAAAATAGAACTTTTATTAAATTAAATCTGCACTAACTTCTGATTTTATAGATCAGTGGGTAGTGGTGATAGGCAAGCTCAAATCCCTGAGATAAGCATCGGTTGCTGAAATTAGGGGACAGGCGAAAGGCCTTGCTCTACCTCCTAAAATAATCAAGATATTCATTTATTTTTTTATACTTTTTCTCTTATATATTATACTACTGTTTTATATGCATGTTTTTGGTTATAACTATTTTTGCTCTCTGATAGTGATTCTTGTGTAGATACCAAAACAAAATGATGATGGTTAAAATCAGAAGTTGTTTCCTCAACAGATTTTAACTTGAGAGCAATTTTGTTGTTTTGCTTCTTCGCAAGCATTCGATTCGACTAAAACTTGTGTTTGCTAGTATAACGTATGGAGCTTACTAAATTTAATTCAATAAATTCTTGACGCATTTTATTCAATTCTAAAAAATCAATATGTTTAATCAGTGAGTAATATTTCTATGATTGAATGCCATGAAACTATTGGACATATTTCGGTGGAGTCGATAGTAAAGTAGAAAAATATTTCTGTTTTATGTCTGCATACTTTTGTTTGCAATATTTGTATACGTCTGCTCAAGATGCTTCGATTGGTAAGCGCATGTATACATCGATAGCTAGAAGATTATTTGCAGAATTCTCGATAGGATAATGTTATTGTATGAAAAAAATTGCCTTTTTTTAATAAATATAAAAATCAAACGGAATATATGCATCCGGAAAAAAATAGAATCGTATTTATGGAATCCATCATATAGAGATACTATTGAATCGATATCCCTTTCTTGTCAATCTCTAGTGATAATTATATGTTTACTTCACCAACACTGTCTATATTTTCTGTTAATTCTTGTACAGCAGGCCCATCATCCTTGACATATGCAGCGTTCAATGAATCACGACGTAATATACCACTGAAACAGAGAATTCGATTAGAAGAATGCTGATTTTTTAGTTAGAAGTAATGATCTGTTTAATGTTTCAGGAAATAATAAAGCCATATCAGCTGCAATCAATGAAACTATTCCGTAGAGTACAATGGGAAGGCTAGGTGATACCCGTGCCTAATAAATATTGATTCATATTTTTATTAAACATAAAAGCCATGCATTATTAATGATAAATAGAATGATTCGATGAACTAAAATGAGAATTGAAGTTTATGTAAAATGTTCACATACATACTCGATTGTTCTGCTTTCGTGAAAGTTTCCATAGGTATAATTAACATAGCTACGATTCCGAATGCTAAAGCAAATAAACAATAAGGCGATTTTCGTCCGACTCGATCGAGTATAACATGGAATACAATGCAGGCAAGCAGTTCTATCAATACACCGATACAAAACGAAACATATGAATCAAATTGCTATGATTCTCAAATATATATATAATATAGATAATCGTTTTCATTACTAAATTAACTCAGTTACTTGTATATTGTGAAATACCATAATATACAAGATTCTAAGTAAACCTAATGAAAAATGGAAGTAAAAATTGAGGAATGGTTACGTGAATAGAAACTAACCACTGTAAAAAGAGATTGACAGTTATAAAACTCATAATCGCAGATTGCAATAGATTTGAAATGCCTGTTCGAACTTCCATCATGTTGTTGTTCTATAATTAATATTCGTTTCATATTATATAACTACAATATTTCTTACAGTCACTTACTATTTTCTGGGCCCTCTTGAATCTGTTATATGATTATTGATCAAATTTTCTTTTATTTACGATGGCAACTTTCTTCAAAATCTTCTCAGCCTTATCGTATCGTCCTTTGCTTACAAGTCATCGAGGACTTTTGGGCAAGATCTTATTGGAATAGTATGCAATGAACATTTAATATAATCTTTGATTATTATCAAGCGAAATATAGATTTTTATAAAAATTATACTCATAGAAGGAACACTACGGCACAATGAATAAAGCCGATACCAATAACAACATTCTCCAAGTACGAATAAAGTAGGCAAAAGCAACCAATCAAAGCAAACCGAGTACATAAACATAGTTCATCACTGCATTTGCCATGATACGTTTTTTCGGAATAACTTTGACAAATACAAATTGATTAAAATCATTTTTCAAAGGAATGTTATTTACCTAATTCTGTGACAAGTACAAAGCCAGTTTCAATTATACCTCGTACTGAACCAACAAGTAAAAATCGACTTACAACAAAGATTATATATGATTGTCAAATACCAAATTTCGATTGTGGACCAAACGTAGAGATAAAGCAGACAACTGTTAGTATGATGAAGCAGACATTCATGATCGGTCTACGATCATATCTTGATATG